AACAAGAAATCGACACATTTGTATTATTAGTGTTACTATTCCCCCAGACAAACTTGGTACAGATTTTCCGGACTCGGAGGGATAGAAAACTTGGTGAGGCATAATAGCGCGATCGAACCAGCGATTATTCTGCACCTTTGCTTGTGTAATTAAGAGGATTTTTTGTTGAAGGCATGGATTACATATTTTTTCTAATTTTCACATGACCCATCATCACATCTATTGTTCGGTTCCCAGCACTTCCTGCGTTCGATTCGTTTTCTTCCTATTCATCGTCCACGATGGTCTTCGAAAATTTTACGTGTTCTTTCAGCTGCTGATTAAGCATTTTGTCTTCTTTGAGCGGTACACACAATAAGTATCCTAAGTAGAATAGAGAGAGTGAGTACCAGTGTCAAGCACAAGTATATAAGGGTAAGAATAGGTAGCAGATGGAGTAAAAGTATCGTTAATGAATGATGCTGTGAAGAAGTGGTTTCCTCTTCTTCTTCACTTTTTCATTATTCCTTACGCATAAACGTTTACGAACGGAACTAGGACGTCTGTCATCATTGAAGCTTCTGTCGTCGAGCACAAATTCATGATTATTCATTATCTCTGCATTTAGAACTCAAAACTGTCTTAATTAGATCCGAGTTTTTCGCCTAGTCAACCCATTTCTGAAACAATCCTGCGCAGGATCACGTGCAGTTTACAGACACTTAAGATCAACTGCGTTATAAGGTTTGACTAGAAAGGTTAGGTTTCGAAAACAAAGAGGAGCATTACCACCAGTACTTTTCGCAGGCTTTCTATAGGCAGGAACAACCAAATAGCCAAATTAACCCTGCTTTGCGCTTATTTTCGGACGAAGTTCTCCAAGTACGTATTCACTACCGACGTAGTAAAATAATCTTCTACCTAACACACGTATAAAAACGTGCTACGCGCCAGATTAAAGAACCTGTAAACTCAAAATCTTTCCTAGTCAGCTGGATGTTAGAATAACAGAGAAGCAACACAACGATGTTTCTCACTATAGGCCACCCTTTGAAAAGGTGTATAGTAATTGATACCAAATATTAAATAGAGAGTGGGTCAATATGGCAAAGGCAGCTGACTAAGTGCTTTCAGATATTTCTCGGTTTATGAACAACCATCCAACTTATCCTGTCTTATACCTGCTTACTAGACACACAAGCTTATTTCTACCGACGATCGTCCATCAACTCGTCATCAATTAAGGTTAGACCAATTATCAGTTCTATAGGTGGGCTAACTGTTAGAAGAGTATGCTTTCTGAGCTTTATCCTGACCCAGTTACTGAAATTCATACTAACCCATTTGCCCCATACCAAAATATTCCTATATCACGCATGCCATGGAGTTGTTCGATGTTACCTCACTTTATACCAATGTTTCGAATGACTCCGCAATGTAAGTCATTCTCGAGCCCCTCGTAGAACGTGAAAGGAATATAAATATGTATGGCTTATCGATCCAATAACTGATGGTTCTCTTAAAACAGTGTTTTGGTTGTTCAGTCTTCAGATGGCTGAGATGATATTTTGCACAAATTAGAGCGTTGGCCATGGAGCAGCCCTCAGCACCAAACCTTGCCTCGCTTTCATGTATAAGGTAGGAGCTCCAGTTCTCGATCGCCGACCCTTACTCTACTTTCAATGCATAGACGACTACTTCATCGTCTGTTTCATACAAGAACAGATGAATGAGCATTTTGAATTGTTAAACAGACAGCCAGAGTATGTAAAATTTACGCGAGGAAAACCAACCGAGAGCTTGATTCCAACCTCAAACACTGAAATAAAGCTTTCAGAAAATGGGTACATAACAAAATGGTGTCGAAAACTAGGTAGTAAAAATATATTAGTGCACTAACTTTACTCTCATCGTTCACTCATAAAAAAGCACTAATCAAAAACATGTACTGAGCAGCTAAAATTGTGTGAACAGGAGAACAGGAAGGGAAGGATTTGCCAAACTTAGCACAAAAATGGCTACTTGCAATGGCTACGAAGCGGAAACCACTCGGGTTAGACCAAAAGGTAGGGCTATACCTCAAAATAATGCTTCAAATCTAAATAAGATCAGCTTCATATAAAACGAAATAAGTTGCGCCATTAAGAGGTGCCTAAGCAAAATTGGTCTCGAAAATTATGCGGCGGTTACTGACCTCCCATCCAATATCCTGTGCCACTAGTTAGTTTGCAACTGCCTTCGTGACGTTTGTGTAGTCCAGAAAATTATGTAATCTGTCCTAGCGGGAGAGACGGGCATTGCATGAGCTTAAGTACAGTATACTTTATTTCATGTAAGGCATACGCTGAAGAATACGTTGAGGAAACGGGTAGACTATTGTGTGCCCGCATAAAAGAACACCTATATGGGAAAGTGAAAATTAGTCAAACCACTCCTTTAGGTACATATAGGGCGCACAAGCACAATGGCGATAATTTCAAACTGTGACTGTGCGGATCCTAGCCTAGGAATCGAAAACATCAAAGCGCAAGACTCTTGAAGCGTTTTGGATAAATTTCAAAATCCAAAGATGAACGGTAATGGCTAATGCCTCACTATCACACGTGATGTGGCACCTTATTTCAAAATGGTTTTTCACCTAGGTGGGTCTCGCTCTCCATCCCACATGAACAACACGCCCCGACAGTCCCACTCATAACAGCACGGTGAGTAGTTTCTTGATAAACATGGAGTTTATTTCTATGTTAGATCTTCACTAATACTATAGGTGTTTCACCGACTTACAAGGCTATTGTTGCGTAAAGTATGTCCAGGCTCTGAGGAAGGCAAAATCGCAGAAACGTCATCAATCGATCGACAGCAACAACAACGAGAATAACAACGAAAATATATACCAATCGCGCAAGAATTCAACAAGAGTAGTTCATTAGAACATATAAATAAATATATCGGCTGAACATGGTCGTTGACTAATCGCAAAGCAAGTGCTGCATGTTATGGATATTCCACCACTGAAAACCAGATTCCATTCTTTTCCAGTAATACGCACCAAGCGACCCTTCATGACCATATTGCAAACTACCTAATTCTGAAATGCATCATAAAAACCATCCATTAGGTCTCGTTTTGTGAAGGTCGAAATCAGTTCTTCCAGCAGGAAATTGAATTTCCTAAACGAAAATAGACACTCATCACATTTCAGTTAACATAAGCGTACTCAAGCTTCATATTTATCCGAGGGTTCCTGCCACTTACCAACTGAGTGGTTTTGACCCTTTTTCAGCTACTACTTGAACCGAACATCTTGTAACTCACCCTCTAAAATGCGCCTGAAATTATTGGCTTCTTATACAACCTTAGATATTAATTTCACTCAAGCGTTGGATTTCTAGAAATGGTAATGTTGTTCAGTAAATTGGTTGTAATAGTTGGAAGTGATCATGTGACTAGAATAAATTCCAGTATTTGTCAATGAAGGCCTCGATAATGATTGCTGCAATAAAATTATCCTTGTATTTGCTCACAATCCATGAAAGAAGTACCTTGCAACACTAACAAAATCTTTGGATACTGGGTGCTGATAAATTGGAACTATGAAGACGTGGTCTCGAGAAGTAAATATGGCGAAAGGTCCTGAAGTTCAAGTGGTCCTGAGCAAATTCACAAAATTTAGTTCCAGAAGGAAAAGCAAGAAAAATTTCATATCTTTAAAAATATTTAGAATACTATAACTGTGGTACGAAGGAACCCTAACTTAGTCTCATGAATTTTTCCTTCAATTAAACACACTCATAGAGCTGCTAAGATACGTGCCAAAACCCGGCGCCTCAGCTGGGCTCTGCTTGGCGTAATCCACGAATACCCTTTCAAAAGGCTCGTGTGCTATCCAGTACATCAACTCTAGTTTAGCAACTATCGAAATCACGTTGTTCTAACCTTTATTCACTGCCCATTCTTTCGATTTCTATTTCGTATGGCGCTTTGTGCTCTCGAAATCATTTCCGTTGACGGGTGATTGCTGATAGCACCGTTAGAGTTAAAAAAAAAAGATTTATGAGAAAAAGGAAAGGCAAAAGCATCGGTTGGTGTGGCGGAGAGCACGTGAACCATCCCAAAGTGTAACCGGGTGTTCGAAGCCCATCTGAGAGACCGGGTTTTGATCATATCTCCACAAAACTCTTGTATTTCACACAAAACCCCGACATGAAAAAACGCAGTAAATAAGAGTTTAAGCACATAGTATTCTCTAGATGAAGGAAATGTGGGTATGCTGACGCTGACACAGGCTTTTTGATCAGAATGAAAAAACGATAGTAAAGAAAATTATACGGAATGCTGTGGCGCTCACAACTTTATATGAATACCAAATAGTTGGGAATATTAGTCTTCGTAGCTGCAACGCGGGTCTTCTGCGTGTAAGTCACTGAGTCGAACGCCTTGAGAGACCGGGTTATAACTTTTATGACTGCAGTAACAATAATAACTCCACATAACAGCGAAGCGAAGTATACGAGAGGGATTGAAAAGGCACTGGTTGAACGAATTGAGTGAACACTTGACGAACACTCAGAAAGCTAACTGATGGGCTGCTTAAATTCTTTCTGTAATAGGTGGGGCTTTCACAGAGGAATCTAGAGATAGCGCTTAGAGAGGTGTTCTAAAAGCTTCTCAAATAGTACAATCTGACAAAGCTTCATCAACAGAAAATTCGTGAAGTCTATACTGTAGTTTAATCAGAAAGAACATGTGAAAGCGATGGAATAGCTTGTGCAAAGGCTTTACAGAAAGTGCATTTGGAAAAAGTACTAAGGCCTAAACAGTAGGAATGGACACAGAACATTTCATATCTATGAAGAATGATCTCTATATGGAAGAAGATCTTAGCATGGCAGAACCCAGTAGATTAGAGAAGCAGGTTCTTAATAAATCAACGACGTTATTACTGGCCAAGGTAAGCGGCAATTATCCACTGCAAAAATTTGGTTGAAAATTTGAAAATCTTACGACATTATGCGAGAACACTACCCGTAACCCTCCTGTGTCCTGTCGTCCGGTTGATCGTCCAATGATTTTAGCCTGTGGGTTCTGTTTCCTCTAAGGTCTAGTTGAGCATCATGACTTTCTTCCAAGCTTTTCCTAGGGAACTCTATCCATCGGGCAGGTGGTCTTCCTATAATGCGTTTAACATGCTGAGCATCCATGTCGTTAATACCGCTTGTCATCAGCCGTCGTTTATAGGCACTGTTTGTCCAGACCACTTTATCTTCGACAACTTGGCCGTACACAGCGGCATCTTTCTTTTTTGATCGACGACGTAGTCCGAAGCTTCGGATTCCCACCCTCATTTGCGTGACACGGAATACTCCCAGCATCGTCCTTTCGACCGCGACTTCAACGGTGCTGAGCGATCTTCCATCTTCGTTGGGACCGAGCTTCTGCAGCATACGTCAAAGAAAGAAGGGTCGTGAAGTCAAACGCGGAGTTGGGTGTTGTTTTTCTCCTCATTACATCCTCGATGCTCTAGGAAGCCACATAAGTCGGTCGTTTCCTGATGCTCAACTTTGTAGCTAAGTAACGACTAAGTAACTTTCATCATGTTCATTTCCCAACTAAGGTAAACGTAGCTAGAGCATTCGAGGATATTCATTTCGTTGGGCGTGAATGGGGCGTACGAAAACAATACTTTTCTAGTGAACATCTTTTTTTATAGATTTACACGAAGACTAATTCTTCCACTGGATTTATTAAATTCGGAAAGGATTCGTCGCGCTTGGCTAGTGTAGGATGTTATAAGAAAGATGTAACCAACAAAGCGAAGATGGTGTAATTGCAAACCATCGATTTTCACTCCCATTTTCTCCCACTGCGCTGTTCGCACGAAGTTCTCGAGGGTGATGGTAAATAATTTTGACCAAGTGGTGCCACCATGGGTAACCGCTCTTTTGTCGTCGATGCTAACATCGTTGTAGAATAGTAAACCTTAGTAATGAAATTCTTATATAGCATACGAAGAATTTTTATATACGGAGGAGGGAGCCCATCGCCGTGTAGGACTTCCATGACTGCTTCTATCTCACCTGAGAAGTCTTCTTTAAATCGATGGAAGTGAGACAGAGCAGACTCCTGCATTCCTGCGAGACTTCAATGGCTCTTGTTATCGAATGGATGCGGTCCACCGTACTAAATCCTTTTTGGAGCCCTGCTTCCTCACATTGCCGTCCTTCATGAAGTTTTCTGTCAATATTGTTTAGAACAGCTTGAGTGCAGAGATTTCAGACGACAGAAAGTGGGAACATTGGGCGATGGTTGCCATTAGAGCGGTGGTCATCCTTCTTGAGCAATAACACAGTCCTGGTATTACGCCATTGAATAAGAATTCTTCAGATGTTCAGATCTTATTCTGTACGAACTAGGAGTTGTTCAGTTCTTAACTGACGAAATAGCAATGTTAGATTTCGGAAGGAATAACCGGTGGGACGACATTATTTTTCCTCCTTTACTACATTTGAGGGCAGGAAGGAATGCCTATTGAAAAGATCCGATTAGAAAGGCGTGAATGATTTTCACCATTACTCTTCTGGAAGCAGTTACGGTTCCGTATCTACGTCGGAGTGCAATTATTTTCGTTTCGTAAATCTGGAACTTTCGGTGATCTTTGCGAATCTTTTTCTCCCTCTGGTGCTTTCACGATAACTGTTGCTCTTCTTTCTTTAAGAACTTCTTTTATCGCCTATCTGGCAAGATTGGCAAGTTCGGACTTAAGTTGGTGGTTGCCTGTAACACGTGCGACTCAACACTGGCGTATCGGCTCGAGCATTTCTGGAGAGAGATGTTTACTGGTGACTTTCAAACTCTCAGATTCCATAGCGCTAACGTGAAGATGTTGACAGAGCCGACCGCATTCCTCGTTGATGTTGTAGAGAACGACATCTTCCAAACAGCCGACTAATGAACTAAATAAGTCCCAGTTTTTGGTGCTTTATGGACCTCGTTTTTCGAGTTTTTCCGCTTTTTTCTTGCTTTCCGCGATAAATAAAGTCTTCAACGGAGAAGGTGATCGTCTGACCCCGTACACAGTTGCCGAACAACAGCGGCATCAGTTAGGCGAAACCTCCGATTTGCTATGTTGTAGTCTGTTTCGTTTTGATAATCTCTATTGAAAGACACCTACGTCCAGCGTTTATGGCGCGTGGCTTTTGGAATTGTGAACTACCACGAATGGTCTTGGTCCTAATGATAAACTCAGACACCCCCTAACTCTGCTGATTTCATTCTAATCCAAGGGTCCCATTATGAGGCCCATCAAGCGTTCTTATGAGTAAAATCTTAGCATTAAACTGTCCAGTGATTACCCTAAAGCATGTATGGTCTTCCCTGTACAACATTTCCAACTGCGAATAGAACGCTTCGACCTCGACTTCGTCACAACGTCTTCGTCGGTGCATAAACGGAGAAGATTGTCAGAACCGGCATTGATCCACATCTCTTCAATCGTAGACGTCCGTTTCGAGTTATTAGTTGCTCGAATGAATCAATTTTCATGACCAAACTCGTGTTGACGAGAGCGCCGGCGTCGCCGATTCGCCACTTTCGAATGTTAAGAGTAAGAGTTCTTCACCGGTGTTACGCACGAGGTTAAATGGATGCCGCCGTCAGGTTTTGGCCAGTCCGATGACACCTTACCTTATCATTTTTGCCTGCTTTGTTAAAATCTTCTACAGAAGATTCACGTGCGGGTGTGCTTTCATTGTAGGCACAGATCGTCTTCTCAGTCCTTTGATATTTATGCAGCCTACAATGACTCTGAAGTTTTAACAGCTTCTCCTTACTCGTCCAACCCAACACTGAAGTATCGAACGGAGGCTCTTCGGAGAATAAGGCTCAATTATTTTGCTGCACTTAGCGTTTGAAACCCAAACATTGCTTGCTGAGATCTAAACGCGGTAGGTGGCTGTACTCACTGATGGCTTGCTAGTCTCTCTCAGAGTAGGAAAGCTTATTTATTCAAGGCGACTCCTAACTGCATGCCATATACTTTCCCGTCGCTTGACTCCAGGCTTTTGGCCGACCTGATTCGTAGAATACAATCCGCACTAGCGAGAACACACCCAAGCACACATGCATGAATACGTCCCCATAAACTCAGAAGGATTTCGAAAATCAGAGTAGGGTCCATGCACAGGATCCACCTGCATCTCAGGAAGGCAAAGGTCCTTTTGGTTTGCGATTAGCCCCTATCCGCTTCCTGCGGACATTGTCCCACACTGTCTCGCAACTAATCTACATGAGTTCCTTCTATGAGGGAGATTCTCGTCATTGTTAACCGTTTTATTCAACTGCCTACTGCACTTTTTCACGTTAGCCACAATGAAGTTATGATACTTGCGAAACTCCGGGCCGCAAGTATTCGCAATGGGGTCGAATTCGCTATGACCTTTTCGATGGCTACCGCGTTCACCACCCGCACCACTATGCGGGTCTTCCCTTCCGCATTTCCCTCAGCCGTGTTTTACCGTGTAGTAGCATCTGCAATCACCCGTCGACAAAACTAACCTGAGCGGCGCAAATCGGCATTGAACCTTAGATTTCTGTGTTCCCGATTAGATAGCACGACATTGTTAAGAAAAAGTATAAGCTTTCGGAGTTGATCAGACCCCGAAGGAAGCAACGTACATTAGACTTTATCAAATATCGTTATACTTGACTGAATGCACATTTGGCCTGCACAGTGACTTGCGGTACCCTATTGATGAATGAGCTCAGGGCTAGTATCCTCTAAGTTGTATTCTCTAAGTCAAGTCTAGTACCAGTAAAGGAGAGCTCCTAATATAGGGTCACATCGCAAAGTGATGACGTAACTCATACTCAGTGATATTTCAATAACTGCCATCAATGTCGGCAGACCATTAGTTTCTAGGTCAGTCTTAAAAGCAGTGATTAGTTGATCTGAAATGAAAGGCAACCTAGACGAGGATTGATGAGCTCTGTAATGATCTTCTAGTAGCCTAACTTTTTCTCCCCCTCACCTGAGTATCCACTTCTTTACAACTGTGTCCATTTGCTAACTTTTTGACGTGTAATACTTTGAGCGCATAATTTACTATGACTGGAATGAAGTTCTTCAACACAAGAAGAAGTGACGTTTTGTTAAGTATGTCCTAATTAAGACATCGTTCCTCGAAAACAATTCGAAATGTCATCGAAGTATGGACCATTGTTTCGCTTCCAACTGAATAATAAACAGTAGCTCATAAGGTTTCAGTCAGCGATGTGAGCCTTTATGACGAAGAATGACGCGGAATAGTTGACAAATCATATGAAAAAGAAAGCATCGTAGAAGAACTCCAAACTCGTAATTTCGCAGTCACTAGGCATATTGAGAACGTCGGAAAAGTGAAAAAGCTCGAAGCACAGCTGTAGCATGAATGGCTAAGCAACTGGTAACCAGATCGTCGTAACGAAATTTCTGCTACGTTTCTTTTCACCACAGTGAGACCCATTTCACGATCACCTTATAGCTTTTAATGAAAAACAGATTCTGTACGATGACCGACACCAGCTTAGCTCAGTAACTGGACCGAAATAAAAGTTTAAAGTATTTTCTAACGATTTATTAGCAATAAATGACAATTGCACGAGTTTTTCATTTTCCATAAACAGAATCGTGTAATACAATGCCTGTAATCTTAGCTGAAAATTGGATGAAATCTTGAACTTCAATCTATGTATGTGTTCATTACCAAAGAGCCCAATCTTCTTGTGCGACGACGTCTGCCAACAAGTTGCACAGCTAACGCGGCTGCAGTTGAATGAATTGGTGCAGCAAAGTCCACTTCTCTTGCTTTCTTATTGGTGCTCTCTTCAACTACTTAATACTTCATTCAAGGTCTTCGAAGACCATTAACTTAAAAAAGCTTCAACAACGAAACCATTGCTAAAAATACAACTGAGAATTTCGCTGCTTCTTAGAATATTCGGAATATACTGCAATATTCGCAAACCTTGAACCCCGGGCCAGATCGAACTACGATTTCCCTTCCCGTGGGCTTACGCATTACATACTGCGCCGCGGAAGCCCTTGCTCTTCTAGTGGCTTTTTATCATTACTGATACAGTTGTGTTGGTGCTCATTTATTAAGAATTAACATTCACGATCCGGAGTTCCTTGGCGAACTTGATGATTGAGACAGTATTGTATGAGAATGAGGCCTAATCGACAATATTTCCACAAATTTTGTCGAACTGCGTTCCTCTGTGGCAACTCGGCACATGGTTAAAATAGGTGTGATTCTGCAACCAGAAAGAAGATCTGAAATTGCAGAGAAATAAAACGACAGAGTTAAGAGTTAAGATTGTGATTATAACTAAGCCTCAGCTTAACTGGGTTCAATGCCGATATTGGCTCCCCAGATCAATCCCGTTGACGGGTGATTGCTGATGGCAA